TATAAGAATATACTAAATATAACTAAGAATAAACTAACTAATAATATATATAATAATGAATAATACTAAGATAAAAAATAACTTAAATTTCTATACTAAATGCTACACTAAAATCTACTTTGTAACACTAGGAACAAGTAGAGCAAGAGTTTCTGGGCAGGAATATTGAGTAAATACCAAAAAACTAGACTATACAACTGTAAAACTTACAAGAAGAACCTTATATATTCTCGTTGACCCTCCACTTTTTTTTTCAGAGAAAATTTTGTAAAAAAGTGGACGATTTAGCTTACCCTCTCCAAAAGATCAACATATGTATACAATTTGCCCAATATTGGTGTTATCCGGCAATTTATGATCATGGCCGATCCTTCCCCCCCTATATATAGATTTTAGATCTAGAAAATTGATAATCATATAGAAAAAAAAATTTTTTCTCTCTTTCGTTGGTGCAGTAGCCTTTTTTTTTTTTAAATAAATACATTCTTTTTTTACCTTATAAACAATGTAAAATGTATTTCTGAAGCCTTGTGCACCTTGTAATGTCTAAGTCAAAGGCTGTTATGAACGGTCCTGGTGATGTGGAGATGAATGCCAATTCATCATCTAGGGCCAAAAAAGCAACAAACAAAACTGTTTCAAGCGTGATCACACGCTCTATGACCAATAACATCAAAAGAAAAGCCGTTTCGGCCATAATTAGTAATGAAAAGTCAAGCCTGGATGATAATGTTGAGTTAAATGAAGTAGTAATGTTGAAATTGAAGCTGGTGGCACTGTTTCTGTGAAAAATAAGGTAAAGCGCTTTTTTTTCTTTAAACAATTTATTATTCATAAGATGAAACAAAAGACTGATACAAAATTTTAGTGGGCTAGGTATAAGGAACCTACTTCTGAAAAACTTAAAGTCGTTCGTGGGAACGCAAGGGTGAAAGCAACAAATAAAGCAATGGAGGGTTGGATTAGGGCCCTTGAAGAGTTTCGTTCCGATGTTGGCTTTGAAGGCAAGATCGAAGAAATCGATTCAAAAGAGATCCTTGAAGACCAATTGTCGAAATTTGTGTGTACTATGAAAAAAAAGGATGGTGATGAATACCATGCCTCCTCGATTCGTAATTGTCTGGCTGCCATTTGGCAGCACTTAAACCAGCATTCAGTAATGCCCAAGCCGGTGGAAATTCTTAACCCAAAGGTTTATTTCAATTTGAATACTACTGTTAGTGATAAATTAAAAAGTCAAACAGTGAAGGGTCTAGGCGAACGTGCTGGGTCAGATAGGTTGACTTTAGAAGAAGTTGAGCAGATTCTTTCCCACGAGACTATGCAATGCAATAATTCAGAAGGACTTTTGCAGCGGATTTTTTTTACAATTCAATTCTTTTGGACCTGCGGGTGGTAAACATCATGATCTTCAAATAGATAACTTCGTGAAACGATTCGATAGTGGGATCGATGTGAAACTGTACAAATCGAAAATGAATCAACGAGGAATCAGGGATTACGATAGAAAAGCCGAGGTCATAAGTTTGCCGAACATCAAAAGTATAATTGATGACTACGAGTTCTATTTCAGTAAACGTCTGGTCACGAAATTGGTGAATTTTTATTTAAGCCCTATTTCTGCAAACATGGGTAAATATCTATTTCGATTTTGGAATTTTTGATTATTGTACTAATATATTTTTTTTGTTTTCAAGTCGAATTTAGTGGCCAATGGTACTATTGGCGTGCATTCGGGGAAAAAAAATTAAGGACATATTTTCGGGTTATTTGTGAATCTACGAATATACAATTTGGTGGATGTAGTATATCCAACTATTCGGGAAGGAAAACCGTGGTTTAAGTACTAAAAGAACTCGGGTATTCAGATTCTGTGGTTATGTCGATTACAAGACATAAATCACAGAAAGGTTTGGCAGCATACAAACGTCCAAAGACAGTAATGCAGCACGAAGGCATTAACAGATTTTTTAGGGCATTGATGGTCGTGAACAATGGGGAAGGATCGTATAAGCACTTGGTGCAAAAACGGACCATGTGAAGGATTTAGTTGGGGGATTTAAACGGGCAAGTTCAATGATTTCACTCGCAAGTGAACTTGCGGATGATATCAATGGTCTTGAATTATCGTCGACAGTTGATGTTGATGAATCACCAGGAGAAATCGCCAATAAACCACCAGGAGAAATCGCCGATAAACCACCAGGAGAAATCGCTGATAAACCACCAGAAGCTGCCAATGAACTACCAGGAGCTGCTACTGAACCACCAGGAGCTGCCGTTGCAAAAAAGCCACTGCCACGAACACGTAAAGTGTTGGGTAAAATGGAACCCCACGAAAATGAAAAAAGTGAAGAAAAACGGAAGGAATTTATTGAAAAATTCCTTACTGGGAATACGTTTAATAATTGTGTTTTTAATTTTTAATTATATAGAAATGCAAAATGTTAATTAATATTGTAATTTGAAAAAAAAAATAATAATAAATGTAATTTTATTTAGCTTTATGTATAGCAAGATTTTATTATTGTATTTAATATAATAAATAATTACAATATTTGCCCTTAATTTGAATATTCGGCAATATATCATTTTGCGTTAAAAAATAACAGTACGTTGCTGCGCCATGATCATATGTGTTTGCTGGATAACATTTACTTATCAAATCGGTTAGCATTGTTTACTTTTTTTTCCTGTTACAACAAACACGTGGATACTTATAGAGCGTGAATATATAGATTACGTGCCTCAGAAGTAGCAATCTGGACAAACAATGCTTTGAGACCAACTGTGCAAATTTCTGACTTCTCTTTGGTGCCCGAAGCACACTTTTGTTTACGCTTCTACAGGAGTTTAAACAAAAGAAGCTGGAAAGCTTATAGTACTAGAGTACAGTGCTAATGTCGAAGAGCTTTTTTTTCCCTTTAGGTTTTCGTTTAAATACTGTATACTAATTAGTTAAATTAGAGTAGAGACTAGTTTAGATAGTAGTATGTAATTTTTACAAAGCCTGACACAGGCTTATAATTGTGACTGTCCGGTGTGAGTAAAAAATCACATATTTTTCCTTTTTTTTGTTTTTTCCCCTTTCTTTTCTTGTTTGTATCTTTTATTGTATTCCTCTATACCTCTGTGTTTTTTTTTTATATATATAGTTTTTTTTTTTTCACTTTTCTACAAGAAGATGTCATCAGATTGGTGGTATCCTATTGTAGGGTGATAGATTAGACGAGCCTTCCAGTTAGGATATTACTTAGGTTTTACTTCACCAGTATGGCAGATTGCTAATGGGTACTCATTAAAGCAGCTGGGGGATGTTAGGATCATAGGTTTAATGTTATAGCAATATATTTGTAGTCATTTACAAGATTGAAGCTTGATTAAACATCGATTACTGACGCGATCTTGCTTAAGTAAAAAAAAAAAAAAAAAAAGATTCAAAAAAACTGCTAAAAAGAGCTTTTGAAGTGTTTTTTTATTTAATTAAAAAGAGTGCTTTTTTTTTTAACTATTTTGCCACTCTAGTATATATGTAGGCTGCTTCAAGAGATCTTAACAATCTTAGTTTCTCATAGTATACATACACTAATAAAAAAAATAATAATTTAGAACAAATAATTAAAAATAAAAAAAATAAAAACGAATTAAAAATTAAAAAATTTAAATGTTAAAACATTAAATAAATAAAAAAAATAATTTAATTTAAAAAAAAAATAAAAAAAATAAAAAAAAGAATAAAACAAAAAATAAATAATAAAATAATTTATTAAAAAAAATAGATCAATTAAAAAAATAAAAATTGCTAATCTTACATTATGAAATTTTAAAATCAATGATCAACTTGTTGTTTAATTTTAAAAAATGAATATCATACTTTTAAGAATAATTATTACAATATACAACTAGATGTTTAACAACTTAATTAAATAACATGTTGTACATTGTATTCCAATATATTAAACATTGCAATATTCAATGAAGCCTCTAATTTTTATTGCTTTTTTAATGATTAACCCTGGGTTAATTATCTAAATTTAATATCTTTTTTTAATTTTGTAATATAACAAACTGTGAAATTCACAGCCCTGCATCTGACAAATCAAAATTGCAGAATTAGTGCAATCTGCAAATTTTCTTTATGTAACAAAAACAAAGTATTTTTTACGAAAAAAATAAATAATTACTTATAATACAAAATTTAGTTTAAGAAACCGCCTTTGGTGTTATAAGTAAAAAAATTTCTTGCTAAATTTTATTATAAAATTCATTATTTATTATAACTTTAACCTAACCCTAACTTAAATAGAAAACTTTTTTTGAAGTAAACCATAGTAAATTTGATTGGCTAAATGCAAACCTGTAAATTTCACAAGCTGTGAATCATAGTAATTTTCAAAAAAAAATATATTTTTTTTTATTTAATTTTTCTTAAATTATTTTTTATTTAATTGATGATTTTCCAGTGAACAGAAGAATGATCATAGTGTAACATGATGCGGTTTTATATATAAATTACTATAGACAGAAATCTGGAAAAT